AAATCAGCAGTAACATCAAGCTTCGAGGAAGAAAACACAATGCACAACAAGGGACACAGGCATCCGACACTCCCAGAAGTGTTGAATGACAAACAGTGTGGCTGATGCTGCAGTGCTTGAATGGAGGGAGGGTAGGAGATATAGGTTGCCAGAGGGATGAATATAAGATCCCTTCTACTGAGAATCTATAAGAGGCTTTACATGATATACAAAAACACCTTTGTGCTACAATTTAATTTGGGTATGAGTTGATGTTGAAGTTCGCTAAGAGTGTATTGTGATAAAGACTTTGTTATTATATATGGAACATGAGAAAGTATAAGAAAAATGTCCTTATTTGTCCTTAGGGATTCACTGATCCTGTGTATCGGGCTAGACGCAAAGAATTTGCAGACATTGCATTCAATTACAAACAGTAAGTACAATTATTGATAAATAAATACATTCGTAGAAAAAAAACTTATCAGTTTTTGTTATTCTTGTGTAACTTGAAATGTGTAATATTAATACTATTATTTTACAGCAGATAAAATGTATCAGAAAATTATTGTGCGCAATTCTGTCTCTGGGAATGAAAAATATACCTGGTAAACCGATTGTATTTTTAAAAAAGTGCAAAAATAATTTTTAATGCAAAATGGTTCACACCATTTTTAAAACCAAATGGGCATCCAGATTGACCAGGGATTAACATTTACTGTATCTACTATTTATTGTTCAATGGTATATACAACAACTTGTAGAACATACAATAGACCGTACAACATTTGTATTCCAATGCCATCAGTATTACACATCATATTAATATTATACCTTGAGCTTTAATATTGCTTTCATGCATTGTACCACTGTAAAATCAGGTATAAATCATATCAACATAACCATACGGCTACGGACAAACTCTGTTTAATGAACTTGGAAAAGCTCTACAGTGTAGCCAGTACAGTATTTTTATAGCTAATGGACAAGTGCAGATCTCCATATTTTGAGATGTAACTATTGGTCTTCATACACTGTTATTGGATCGTTAGACTAACAGCTAACATTAAAATCTGCAGTCTTTACAAATTCAAACAGTTAGTGACATAGGCATTACTTCTGTTGTTTCCCAAACCAGTTCACAACAACTAAAAGGTAATATTTCTGATTCTCTTCACAGAATTCCAGATAAAGTAATGCTTAAGGTCAAACTATAGCCAACGCTTTTTTAAATTTGAATAGGATTGGAAAGAATTAGAACCACTGTTAGGTTTTTACCATTGTCCGGAGCTTCATTAGAGACATTCCTCTCACTTCCTGTCCTAGGGACAACAGGAAGCAAAGAAAATTCTCCAACAGCAGCATGTACATAATCAAAAATGCTCTTTTAAGTTAGGTAGGGGAAGGCTAAAACCCCTGTCAGTTATTTATTGTTTCTGTTTCCCTGTTGCAGATTTTCCCTAACTTCCTGTCTGCTAAAAGGTTGTCCCCAAGAACAGAAAGACATGCGTTCTAAACCTTCCACACTCTATCCAAAACTAAAAAATAAACTAGTGCCCCTCCTCTTTAACTAGTGTCCCTCCAGTTCTCTCTTGATGACCCTTCTGATCAGTAAATATGTTGTCATACATTTTTTTTTACGTCCCTTTATCTATAGATTTCTGGGATGGTGAAGGCATGCATGTGATTAGAATATACCTTACATTCCTCTCATGAGTGTCAGGTGAAGCCATCCTGTTCTAAATACATCATTATCATAATAATTGGATCATGCAATTAGAGCAGGGTGCTTTTACAAATGTTGACGCCTTCCATTATGTTCTTGAACAATCAACATCTGCCTTAAAACATTCCAAGGTGACAGGTTTAAGATGACTGAGTTGCCCATGTGGCTATAAACGCTGGGGTATTCTCCTGGCACTCTTAAGAACTAATTAAGCCACTTTGTTGACATCTTCAACATTACAAAAGCAAGTCCAATTGAAAGTGACTTACTACTATAAGCTCTAGCTAACAGTATTTAGTCACATTCAACTGGACCTGTTCTGTAAATGTTAACTTTACTGAATAAGCCCAGTGGAATGTGACTAACTCCTACTTGTTATTCCATTACCTGAATTAATTAGAAAGTTCTTATTAATACATTTGACCCCAGATTATTTCCTTATTCTCTTGCATAGTTAGATTAATAAAATGTGCAGCCTCCATAGAGTTGTAAGGGGTCACCCTGTAAGTTCCAAAATGTATATTGTTACTAGAATTTTACTTATTAAAATAATTGTGTTTTCCATGGACCCGTGAAAAACCTAACATGTTAAAGTTTTTTGAGAATTCGAATAATGATACTCTTTCCTAACAGTGTAAGCCACATTATAGCTCTTTCAGAAGTTTTGTCCAGTAAGTCAGGTGTTAGATAAGTAAGTAAATTCTACGTTGGGGGTAATGCTTTGCTTCCGAATAACTGTTCATGTGAACTAAAGGAAAGTCCATATGTTTTCTTTTTAGTGGTCAATCTATTCCTCGTGTTACCTACACAGAACAGGAGAAGAAAACATGGGGAGAAGTTTTCAGAGAGCTGAAATCTTTATACCCCACCCATGCTTGCTATGAACATAACCATGTATTTCCTTTGCTGGAAGAATACTGCGGGTATATTGAAGACAACATCCCTCAACTTGAAGACGTGTCTAATTTCTTACAAAGTATGTGATATGTGTATAGCTAACTGATCAAAGTAATCTGTAACACAATCAGTCTGCAGAAATCTCTGATCTGACCATAAAGAACCCAGGGCTAGCTTGGCCCAATTTAAGTATGCATATGTTATACCTATGTGGCCGAACGCGACCATTCAGCGAATGCCTGGTATTTTTATCAATACAGGGCGTTTTCTGATTGGACGAGAGGCAGTAACATCACATTCTGCCCTTCCACAAAGCAGAGAATGCCTTGTATTCATTGATAAAATTACTAGGGGCTCTCTGAATGGTCATTTTGCCAAGCAAGTGACTCCCTGTGTTTTCAGAGCAGGTGGGAAGCCACTTAACACAGCACAGTACCTCGACCCAGAAGATCTCTGTATAGCACTGCAGTAGCTCCGGCTATTGCAGTGCTTTATAGGATCCCTGCGGGCATCTCAGGTATGACATATGCATACATACATTGGCCCAATTTGATCCAATGTATGTATGCATACAAATATATACTTGGAGTTCAGCTTTAATCTCTCAGCCCCCTCCTTTTCTCTTTAAATTTAACCCAAGGGCCCATTCACATCAGTTCATGTATTGATGCACTTTGGTTCTATTGATTGTGAATAGTACCCTAAAACACCTAAAAGTGCATGTGCGCTGCAACGTAGTGAATCACAATGTGCAAAGCATGTCAAGGCACATTCCATTTTTCTGCTTTGTGGTGTGAGTCAGCCTTGACACTTAAAATAATGCCTCAACTCTGAAGATCACCCTAACATTTAGTCCTTAAACTAACCCGAAATTAAATTCTTAGCACTTAACCGGACTGTAATATTTAACTAGTAACCTTAACCAGATCTTAACTCTTAATATAACACTTAAAATTCAGCTAAACTTTAATCTTTAAAGTTAAGCTAACACTTAAATAATACACTTAATTTAAACCCATAAATGTTAACCATGACTTTACCATGATCATTAATTCTGATTCCTTAACGTAATGCTTTAAATCTTATAGGCACCAAATCTATTGATACTAAATTGTCTAGGTCCCATGATGAACATTAACTGCACTGGGAGTCTGACAGTGAAAACAACTGTTTCTCAGTGAACTATATCTGATTGCTTGCTCTGGGCTCCTTTAATATGCAATAGGCACCTTTAGCCTGTCTACTGGCCTAGGACTTGTCAATGTGATTTTTTTTTTTTTGTGACCATATGTGAGTGGTTATGCGTGTTAGCACTCTATTTTCATATCTACATAAGCAACTTTAGGCTGTGTTAGTGTGAACCTTACATTTGAAGAATCTATTTTGCATTCATTATCAATAGAGAAGCTATAATGCTTAAAGTATTGCTCTCTTAAAAAAAAAAACACTTTATTTAAGTGCATAATGAATAGTAACTAGCCTGGGCTTGTCAAAGTCTAAAAGAATGTTTTGATATGACCTGATTGTACAATATGTTAAAATGAAAGGGGCTAACCTGATGGAGACTGTAGAAGATTGTAGAAGACTGTAGAAGATTCTGGTAGGCTACAGATATAGGGCTTAATACAAACATGTTCTATATTTTCTTTCTTATTCTTTTATAAAGGCTGCACTGGATTCCGTTTACGTCCTGTTGCTGGTCTGCTGTCCTCTCGTGACTTTTTGGCAGGACTAGCATTTAGAGTTTTTCATTCAACCCAGTATATCCGTCATTGGTCAAAACCCATGTATACGCCTGAACCGTGAGTACATTATACTCATTTTACAATAGCAGTATAAATGTAATTATAAATATTGAATATTTATCTATACAGTTATTACCACACTCTTTCCACCAAGTTCGCAGGTGCTTGTCAAATGAGACCTGAACGGGAAATACAGTATATCTTAAAGCAAAAAATATTTTTGTAAGTTTTTGATAGAGTAGGCAAGGTTTAGAACCCCTTTCAAATTGCTGTGTGTGTCCCCAGGAGGGAGGTTCACCATTTCAATTTGTCCTGGTAACCACTTTCAATGGGGACACTTGTTGCAGTGACAACTGTCTGAGAGGGGATTTCCCTCACTTTGGAATGTTTTCCTCTCACTTCCTATTTTGGCAGATCCTGAAGTAATAGTAAATCTCCACAATGGAACACAGATGGCCAGAAAAAAATATTCCCTGCTGTTTTAAAAATGGAAAAAAATAAGTTTTGGCTTTAAAATGTTTTATATATTAATAGCAAATCTACCTCACATTTATATGTCTATGTACAAGACCAAGATACTCTGCATACTGTCATGTTATTCCGCATGTTGTACTTCTTGACGAATGTGGTCCACCCGCGACTTGGTTAACAAAACACGAGAAACAAAACAAAAAACAAAAAAAAGAGAATAAATGCGTGTACTGTACTGTATTCTTACGGTCACATGGTGACCTTGTTTATGCCTAAATAAACTATTTTGGGGAAAAAAATAGCAAATCTACATTTTATTTTCTGTCTCCAAAAATATGTCACAAAACAACACTAAAAGAAATAACAATATAACCGCTTATTAGGTTTGTTTTAACTAATACTGTATGTAGTAGGCTTCACTAACCTATTGCAGCTCAGCTGAAACAGCTGAACCCCACTTATGAAAATGACATTCAAAATGTTTATTGTGGGTTACAGCTAGGGATGCACCGATAGCGGTTTTTCAGTTTCGAAAATGAGTACCGATATTTATTTTTGGTACTCGCCGTTACCGAATATCAATACCAGAAGTCCCATTAAAGGAGAACTATGGGGTCAGGGCTTTTCCCCATAGTTCTCTTAAGGGTAACGGGAGGACGCTAGTTTGTATCCTCCCGTTACCCTCCACCCAAAGCTCAGTATACCGCGAGCTGTAGCTCGCGGTATACTGAGACACAGCAGCCGGGACGGATCCCGACATTACTGTCTGGATCCACCCAGCTGTGTGAGTGACAGCTGGCTCTGCCTATCTAGAGGCAGAGCCAGCTGTACCCACCCCCTCCCCCGTCCGTTCCGCCAGTGAGCACTGAAGGATCGGACTGTTCCGAGGGAGAGGGGGGAATTATCTCAAGGCAGCCGTGAGTGACAGTCACGGCTCTCTGCAGGGACATGATCGATAAGTGAGCGAGCAACGGTATGTGTTCGCTCACTTCCCGATCTATTGAGCTGACCTGTGACAGTTTCATTGTCACAGGTCGGCTAGATCTATGAGGCTGAGTGATTTTCACTCGCCTCATAGTTCTCCTTTAAAGAAGCCAGGCGGCATGTTATGACTCGCCGCCCGGTTTTCCGATTAGCTGGGAAGCCGTCTTCATGCTCCCTAGTTACAGCACATTTTTACTTTTACAAAATGTAAATACAATATATCTGCTACAGTCTGAAACTGATGCAAAAGAAGTATCCATTATAAAAAAAGTTTAATTATCTATTAAAATTTTTAATTTATTTTTCATCTATTTACAGTGATATTTGCCATGAACTTCTGGGACATGCTCCTTTATTTGCTGACCCAAGCTTTGCTCAGTTTTCTCAAGTAAGATTTCTGCATTCACTTATTTAGGTGTAATTGCTAATGTCTAAATGACAATATTACGTTTTCATCTCATGTTTCCCCCTAGGAGATTGGATTGGCATCACTTGGTGCTCCAGACGAATATATTGAGATGCTGGCTACAGTAAGTATAACAAGTCATACTGTATAAAACAGATGCAGTAGTGTTTTGTGTCTTCACTCATTACATCCTTCATATAGGGACCAGAAACATTTAGCCAACTCTCTATATTTTTTTAACCAATGGCTTACAAATAATAATGGAATACAATAATGTTGTATTAAAGGATACTCAATTCAAAAGTAATTTCTTGGGGTTTCTGTCTACCAGGAACTGGGCTATACAATATTTGTTGTGTGCAGCAGTGACATAACTATAGAGCATATGACTGCTATGAGGCCCAGGAGCCAGTAGCAGGATTTATGTAGGCAACAATAGCATTTAGCAAATACATTTGAATAAAGTAAATGTATGCACTGCTAGGAAACCTCTGAACAATTGCTTCGAAATCAAACAGTATTCTAATACTAGATAGGTAATACTAAAAGGAATTAGTCTGGGATGATCAGAGAGGAATAAAAAGGCACCTTAACATTTTTGCTAGGCTCATTTATAATGCTCCACTTTCTTAGCTAGTCACCACTAGGTTTCTCCCCACTGGAACCTACATTTTGTGGCCCATTCATAAAATGCAGGCTGCAGTGTGGAGTCGGTGGTATGACATTAATTTATTTCTGATTAGCTAACATTGCTGTGCTTTATAAGCTTGCCATCTGTTTTTTCTATTAAACAGCATACTGTTTAAAACAGCATACTATTTAAAAAGCAGCAGATAGGCTCTAGTGTAGCCATACTGGCTACACTAGAGCCTATCTGCTGCTTTTTAAATACTGGCTACACTAGAGCCTATCTGCTGCTTTTTAAATAGATCCCATAGTTTCTGGTGTGCATCATCTGTTATTTATTGGGACTGGCCAGAGAATGTTTATTCACCAACTAAGAGTCTAGATTTACTTTCTAAACAAAGCATTTTAGCATTTATTTTCCAAATTGTGTACTAATACTGAATGTTATGATTTTCCCCCACAAGGTGTACTGGTTTACTGTTGAATTTGGCCTTTGCAAGCAGGGTGAAAAAATAAAGGCTTATGGAGCTGGCCTGCTTTCATCATTTGGGGAACTACAGGTTTGAATTATGACACTTATTCAAATATATTTACAAGCAAAGTGCAACACCAAAAGTGTAAATGTTAATAGCCAGCTGCAATATCTGTGGTCTATGAATATGAATAGGCTGTATAATAAGGGTCAGTTTTATGCATTGTAACATCACTGCAAAATATTTATTGTGAAAAATAATTCACAGTTGGCTTGTTCTCTAATCCAAGGAGCAGCCAGTTAGAGTTCATCCATCAATGATCTAACTTCAGTAAACTGAAAGCAGATTTGTTGGCATGGGTTACAGAATTTACTGGATGTACTCCTTGTGCTGTTTTAGTCAATAAAGCTTAATCAGTAGCATAATCTGTAGTTTATGGTGTACATATGTACAGTGGTCTCTTTAACCCTTTCTGTCTGCAGCCTAAAAATGTCTTCTGTGGCAATGACATCTGTTATTGTTAGGCACCATGCACACGGCAATGAAAATACATGAGTCCAGGTGTGTTTGGAGCTCATTTCTAAACACATCTGGAAGCATGTAATTTTTTTATGGCTAAATTATTCACACCTAGATGTTGAGCAGCATATATATGCATTCAATCTATCTGCAGTTACACAAGCAAGAATTTTCTTCATCCTTGAGACCATGTATATGTGTCTAAAAGTGCCTAAACAGGACTAAACCCAGGGACATCTAAATGCAGGAAACAGTAATCTAGGAAGCATAAACTTTGTTTATGTTTCCCAGATAACTTCTCCTGTGTTTAACGCAGCAGGTCTGTGTGCATGGTGCCCTAGTATGACATTAAGGCTAGTCAGTCTACTGGGGTAATTGGGTGGTGTGAAGCGCACATAACAGTAGACCTAGATCTTAGGAAATATAAATCCACTACCACCATTACAGATGCATGACCTAAATATGTGTAATCAATCCTGAGCCAAGTTTAGACTTAAAGGAAGGTAACTGATTGCCCTTAGACAAGAGATCCTATACTATTATAAGAATTGATTCCAGTATTCCAATTGATTTAGAAAAATAAACTTACCAACATACGGCTACGGAGAAATTTGTAAAATTTTCGGAAAAATTATTATCTTCTCTGTATTATTCTTTACCTCTATGCATTCCTTCATCTACATGACTTTGGTTTGTTTTTTTGTTTTTCCCCTCTCTTTTGCTACTTGTGTAATGTCATGTGTTATGTAAGAAGATGAATGCTGGAGTCTGGTCAACAAATCACCTGTGCTAATGTGTTATGATATATTCTGTATGGTAATCTGAATTGTCTGTGGTTTATATATTTGTTTATTTATTATATCTGGGGGTTTTTTCTTCTCTTTTTTAATTTTTGTTATGTGCAAAGCTCAATAAAAAGTAATTAATTAAAAAAACAAATCCCAGTATTCCAGAATAAAAGTGTGACTCACCAATACATTTTCTGCACAATGCAGATGCTGTTTTTCTAAAGGCAGATTCCCATGCTACAACGTGCGGCTGCTGGTGTATGTTGCCAGGCAAAGTGCTGATGTGCCAATCCCAGTGCATTGCACTGTTTACCTCTACCTATGAAAAAATATGCATTAGAAATTTCCTTCCTTACATTTTTACTTATTTATGTTGTCCTCTTTTTTGTGCAGTACTGTTTGACAGAGAAGCCAGAAGTGAAACCCTTTGAACCAGAGAAGACATCTAAGCAGAAATACCCAATAACAGAGTTCCAACCGGTTTATTTTATTGCCGAAAGCTTTGAAGATGCCAAGGAGAAAGTGAGGTGAGCAACTTTTACTTTGACACTTTTAGTCGTTTTATCAGTTATCAGAATGTATACTGCTTTCAGAATATCACAATTCCAATCAATTTCTTGCTGGACAAATGTCAAGCTAAAAACAGTACACATTACTAATGTACTCTTCATATGTGCTTTATAGATAGGGGATGCAATACAGAACAACATTAAATTTAACTTGCAGTGTTACATCATTTTGACAGGAAATTTGCCGCCATAATACCTCGTCCTTTCTCAGTTCGCTACAATTCATATACACAAAGTATTGAGGTACTGGATAATGTACAGCAGCTCAAAAATCTGGCTGACTGCATTAACGGTAAGTTTTTAACAAACTCTGTGCTATTTGTTGCGCTTGTTTATTATCTGCCAATACTGCTCTGCATTTTAACAATTAAAGCATATATCAACTTGACAGATCATTTAAATATGTGAATACATTATTTTCTTTATTTTTACTATTATTTTGCTTTTGTCTGTTTGCTGTAGTCGGGACAGTGAAGGATAATTGCTGATCCTAGGATAGGTTTTATGTTTTTACTAAACTTTGTAGGATAATGTAAGTTGATCATTGACATATAACGTATTATAGATAACAGTCTAATAGTGATGTAATTTGAGTAATTAGTGGTATGATTTATTAAAGAAAGGAGAGGGTTTGTGCTTCATTGGACACAAATCAGAACAGAAATATATCCCATCCATTCCTGATCAGTTGCAACTCCAAATGTTGGCTTTTCCCAGACTTTCAGCCCCGGGGCAATGGTCGCCAGCAATAATATAGAGTGTATCTCTATATAATGTGTACACAGACAGCATTAAATCCTGACAGACAATGCAACCCTTCCCTACTCTATACAAAAGGGAAAAAAGTGCAAAGATTGGTTTTAGATGTTCAAGTAGACAAGGGGTAGGTAGCAGGGGCGTCCCGAGGCTGGGTGACACCCAGAGCGGTGTCCGAGTGTCACCCCGCCGAGACGTCACCGCGCGGCAGTATTCTGATACCTGCCAGCGGCCATCTTGGTGATGGACGCTGGCAGAGAGAGGAGGAGACAGCAACCCGGCGGGATAAGGTATGCTGCCGGGTCCCCTCCTCTCTCCTGATACTGTCGGGCGTTCGGTCCATGACCGAGCGCCCGACTTTTCAGAGGGGGGTGACACCAAAATGACTGCAAGTCATTTTGGTGTCACCCCTCCAATGGTGTCACCCGGGTGCGGGCCGCACCCCCCGCACCCCCCTTGTGACGCCACTGGTAGGTAGTAAGGTAAATGTTGTAGGACAGTGGTAGTAAGAGTCAGCACATACCAAGAGAGGGAACAAAATAGTGTGGACTCCAACTCCATTTTAACAAGGACTCCCCCACCACCACCACCACCACCACCATGGCTTAGCAACAAAGATAATAGTGGATCCAGTTGCAAGTTGACTTCCGATCCCAGGGGGCCCATAAGGCCTTTATAGACATATATAAAGTCCCTCACCATCACCTTGAACAAGTGTAATAAGAATCGATGAGAAGCAGATTGTAAAAGTTTCAGGTGAGATGCTATCTTTTGTGCCTTTTTTCACCTGCTTTGCCTGTCTGAATTATTAGGTTTAAGTAATTTAAAAAACACAGGATCTATAGCTGAAATAATCGACTTTTCCTCTCCTGCAGGTGAAATTGGTATCCTGTGCAGCGCTCTCAGAAAGCTGGAGTAATAATATCAGTAAAAGCACTGCAGTGATTCCATCATGGATGAAGACTGCTATCAAGTTCGAATTGTTCAAATATGATTAGTTCATGGATTTCAATTTAGAAAGAATTTAGAGTTAGAGTATTATGCCAGAACATTTATAGATACTATTTAGGAATTAAAGAAGTAGAGTTTATCACTATCATTCTGAATATCTTATTGCATTGTATAATGTCATAAACTGAATATAGCAATGTTTTTGTTTATTTGTTTTCAACACCATTCCATATATATCTAGCAGAATATAGATGTATATCAGATTGTGAGAAGTGTCATCTCTAGAAATAGTTAGGGGAAAGGGTAAGAAAGACCACTGGACCATAATAAACAAGTTCTTGCGTGGAAAAATTATGTCACCCATTTCATGCTGGGATCTTCATAGAGACATGGAGATAATCTATCTATCTATCTATCTATCTATCTATCTATCTATCTATCTATCTATCTATCTATCTATCTATCTATCTATCTATCTATTTGTTGATGTATCTATCTATCTATCTATCTATCTATCTATCTATCTATCTATCTATCTATCTATCTATCTATCTATCTATCTATCTATCTGCAATTCATCATAAACACAACAAAGGTTTAGGAGGAGGTCTCTATACTAAGGTCCAAAGGTGTTCTTCATAGTATAAAGAATATTGTGCACACTGTTGTAACATGGAACCACTCAGAATTTATATTCCACTGATATGACACCTGTATGCTGAAATATGATTAGCTTTCATGGGCTGCTGCCCTCTGCACTGCATAATTATGTTTTGTATTGTTTTTATTATATACACTTTTGTGACACCTTGAACAAAACATAGAAGGTCATATCATGCCCCAGTCCCATGAACAGATTAATATTTGGGGTAGGCTTGACTTTGAAGGTAAAAAGCTTTGCTTTATCCCCATGCAAAAAGACATGCACCTATAGTTGGTTAGGATCACACAAATGTAGTTATTATTCCATTCTGGTATTGGACTATGGCAGGAACCAAAGGACTTCCTTAATGCATATGAACACTGGTGTACATTGCAATCCCTTATATTATCACTAAAATCATTTTATCAATTAGGATACAATTATATAGTTGAAAACAGCTTATTTAGTGTTCACATAATCTACTATATATTCTGTAAACTTATTACATACCCTAAATATATATTTAGTATGCATATTTATTTACACTGATCTAGCCCTATAATATGTAATTTTGCTATAGTGTATTCTGCATTATTCAAAAATAGATGTTACAGTAAACCCTATAAGACATTGTATAATACATTTAAGTGATGAAGGTTGAGTAACAGTTTATTATTAATTATCAGTAGGGATGTCCCTATGCCACTTTTTCAGGCCCAAGTACAAGTCCCCTCATCCCCTCATGTACTTGCCGATACCAATTACCGATACTTTTTCTTAAAGGGGCAGGTGACTTTAAATGATCCATAGTACAACTACATGTTATGTACTATGGATCATGGTTTAACCTATTCATGTTAGCAGTGGAGAATTGTAACTCTATTGCTGGAGTGTAGTGGAGGTGTGTGCTGTATATATGTACTACATATACAGTACACACGTCCAGTACACTACAGCAATAGATTTACAGCCAGCCCCGTCCCAGCTTCGCTCACTTACAGTTTCACTCCAATCCCGGTTGCCTCACGCGGTGCCTCTTGTAGTCGGCGCTGGGCAGGATCACTGCATCGCATCTCGGTGCTCAGCTTGTGGGAGGCGCTCACAATTCTGTCCTGCTAACATGAATATGTTAAATCATGATTCATAATACATATACAGCACATACGTCCAGTACACTGCAGTATTAGAGTTACAATTATCCCCTGCTAACATGCATAGGTTAAATCATGATCCATAGTACATAATAGTACATAACATGTAGTTGTACTACGGATCATTTAACCCATTCATGTTAGCAGGGGATCATTGTAAATGTATTGCTGCAATGTACGGGACATTTGTGCTGTATATGTACAGTACATATAGATATACAATTCTGCACTGCTAACATGAATGGGTTAAATGATCCGTAGTACA